CATTTTTAAGTGAAATGAGCCTGCCACAGAGGGACAAATACTGTATGATTCCGCTCATCTGAGGGACCTAGAGAAGTCAAAATCGGAGACAGAAAGTAGAATGATGGTTGTGAAGAGACTGGAGGGGAGAGGAAATGAGTTATTTAGTGGGAACAGAGTTTCAGTTTGGGAAGATGAACAGTTCTGTGAATGGATGGTGGCGATGCTCGCCCTACAGTGTGAATGTACTTAATGCTGCTGAACTGCACGCTTAAGAAAGGTTAGGATGGTAAATTTTGTGTTCTGTGTATTTTACCACAGTCTCAAATAGGCCATCTCACCCAGGGCTTCGTTTCCACAGGTGGGGAACGCGGAGGTGCAGGGAGGTGAGGCATACCTGGACTTGAGGGTCCCGCCACCTCGTGACCAGGATCTAAGCGTTTCTTTCACTGCGGATTTCAGTTATTTTTTTTGATCTTCAAATATTTTTTCAAGTTTTTTTATTTTATTTTATTTTATTGGGGAATTGGGGGGAGACGAACAGTGTTGGAGAATTGGGGAAGGGGAACAGACAGGTAGACAAATTGCTGTTTTTTTGTTCTTCAGTCTAGTTGTAGAGGACGTCGCTTTACTGGCCCATGTTGGTATGATCATTGTGCTCTTCCCTGGTGAGGCAGATCTGTCGCCTGTCATTGGTCGGCCGTTCACAGCGGCTTTCGGCAGCTCACGCCGGCTGCCGGCCACTCACGGTAGCTTACAGCAGACCACTGCAGCCTCATTGCAGCCTACGCTGTTAGGCTGTCGCCAGCGACTCACAGCAGCCCAGCTCCAGGTCGAGCTGTTGCTCACCATCTTAGCTGTAGAGGGCGAGCGTCACTGGCCTTCAATGTGGGATCCGAACCGCAGCCCTGCTGCTCAGAGCTGGTGTCCCAAGCGAGCTTTTAACCAGCTGAGCCACTCGGCCGGCCCCTATTTTTTCAAGTTTTTATTATGAAAACGTTTAAACAGGAAAACAAAAGAAACATCTAATGAACACCTATCTAGCTGCCACCTGTATTCAACAATAGTTAGGACTTGCCAAACCTACATGTATGTATAAGTGTTTTGTTTTGATAAAACGTTTTGAAACTATATTGCAGACATCATGACACTTTACCCATAAATACTGGAGCCTATGTCTCCTAAAAATAGGGATATTTCTTACATAATCCCCTAACTATGGTGTCATACCTAAGAAAATTGTCAGTAATTCCCAAATATGGTGGTATATCCAGTGTCTATTCACATTTTTGCAGTTTCGCCCAGTTTCCTTCTGGAGGCGCTCTTTGAGAATCAGAATCCTGCCAAGTTCGAGCACTGCACTTGCTTGTTTCTTTGTGACATAGTCTCCTGTGTGACAGAACAGTGCCCTGTACTCTTTTCCTCTGACATTGATTTCCTCAACCCCCCGCCAAGAGTCCAGACCAGTCTGGTAGAAAGTCCTGCGTTCTGGATTTGTCTCGTTGACCATTTCTTTTTTCAAATGTCATTCTTGTTTTAATTTGCCCATCTCTGAGAATGTGTCTGTTTCCTTGTGGTGCCATTTAACCTGTTCCTCCATCCCATGTACAGGAAGGCAGGTCCAAGGCTTGATTAGATTTGGGTGACATGTCTTAAGGCAGGGATGCTCTGCAGGTGATGCTGTGGGCTCCGTGGCCCTGGGAGTACCTAACGTAAGGTTGTCCCACCTTAGCAATGCTCAGTTTGGTCACTTGGTTAAAGTGGTGACATCCAGCTCTCTCCATCCTAGAGATGGGTCAAGAAGCAATCTGTGGGTAGGACTTGGTCGCCATGAAGCTGCGTGTTTTCTCACAGCCTTCTCCTGCCTTCTGGAGGCATACAGTGGTGTGGATAACTACAAACCAAGGATGTCAAAGACTGCCAGCAACCACCAGAATGCTGGTGGGAAAAGGCATTCTTACATACTCAAAAACCCAAAGTGTAAGTTAAGAAAAAGAAGATGAAGTGCTCCATCTCATTAATAGTCAGAGGTGGGCAAATTAAAACAAGAACAACATTTGGAAAAATAAATCATCAACAGGTCAAAAGGGCCTTCAAACCTCATGGCACTTGGAAGGCCTTTTGTTTGCAAGGGACAGGAACCCAACTGAAACTAGCATCAGCAAAAATAGTTATTGCCCTGGGGAACTTGGAAGACCAGGGTGAAGCTGGTCTTGGGGGTTCTGGAAATTTGGGAGATAGCAGTCTACATTTCCCTTTTCATCTCTGTGTCTTTTCCATCTTTTGTCCGGACTTCTCGCAGAGCTTGATGTAGGAGAGGGGAGGAAAAGGGTCACAGCTTTCTCATCCCAATTTAGTGACCCCAAAAGAAAGACAAAAATCTCTCCTTTAGCATCCATATATAAAGACCCAGGGAACGACACCAATTGGCCCAGCTAAAGCCACATAGCCAACTGTGGGCCAATCACTTTGGCTAGATGATTGGGATCTCTGATTGGCGAGGCCTGGTCTAGGTGCCCGTGGCCTGAGGGTGGTATCGTGGTTGTCCCCAGGAAGGGGAAGGGCAGACGCTGAACAGACAAATGCAATGGATGGACTTCCCACACATGGAGTCAGCACCATCTGCCTACAAGGGAGGCTCCAGGGTGGTATGTGGAAGGTAGTGGTCTGACTGACATCTATTTAGCAAGTGACAAAAATCAACCCCAGAGAAGCAGAAACTGTCTAGGCAGCCCAGACTGGGCAGTGGCCAGAGACGGTGGCAGGGCTGCCTCTGCCTGTTCTTTCCAGCCTCTTTTCATGAGCCCCTGGTGGTCCATAGTGAGAGAACAATTCTCATTCTTCTTCCAGACACTGTATACACAGTAGCGATGTGCTTACGGCCCCCCTGAGGGGCAGGAGCTGATGAGCTTCCTGTATCATTGCTCCCTTCCAGGAAGGACAGCATTCCAGCGAGATGAGGTCACTCAGCCCAGGAAAGTTGGGAATCGAAAGAGGGGATCCTGGGTCAGAGCTCTGGAGCAGTGCCTGTTCCCCTACTCTGCCCTGTAATCTGAACTTTCCCCATCACTGGTGGTCTCAGAAATCTCTGAATACACTTGAGTTCCTGCCCTGGTGTGAATGCAAAGGTGGGGGACGGTTCTGGAGATGGTTTGTGGACTGGAAGAAGAGGGAGAACCCAGACACCCCCCATTCTCCCCCAACCTTTCCACCCCAGGCTGACTCTGCTTGGGTGGCTACACAGAAGTTAGAATTTGGTGAACTGATTCCTGGGAGCGACGGATCCTGCTGGGAGCGCAGTTAACCCAGTAACAAAATGAACATTTTTTTGAACTAAACTCTACACTAGTTATAGCTTAATATCTCACGGAATCCACCCCAAATCCCCATAAGGTTGGCATTATTCTTGTGCCTACGTTGCGGGTAAGGCAACTAAGGCTCACCCAGTTAGTAGGACAGTAGAAACCGACATTCAAACTCTGGTCTGTTCGAATCAAGAACTCTCAGCTTCCCACAACTGCCTCCATGACCGTGTGTGACTCAGGGGAACCCCCAGCTCAATGCCCACCTTCCCCACGAGCCAGCGCGGTTATAAAGGTGGTGTGCACTGCTCAAGGGCCCCCAGGAGTGTTGTGAGTGGGCAGGGGCTGACACACGCCCGGGCTCTGTTCACGTGGGCTATAGGCCGAGGGGGTGGCTTTTTCTAATTCTCACAACTATACCGTTCCTGCTAGCAGCAGCCCTACCCCAGGCCACGCTGGGCCTCTCGGAATCCTGACAAAACCCACCATGCTGGCCACTCGTATGCAATCATGCTCTGTCTTGCATTGTGACCCAACTGGTTCCCATGACAAAACTTGCTTTTCCCATAACTCGCCCAGCCTTTTCCTGCGCCCAGGGTTTTTTGCCTGGGTTCTCTGGGCCTGGCACGCCGTTCTCTTCCCCACCACCTTTCCGAGCATTTCTACGTCATAAAACCTACCTTTCCTTTACAGCCCAGTGGGATGCCCAGGCCTAAAGGCCTCTCAGACACCAGTTAGCCTTCCTCTCCCCCTCTGCCGCCTCCCTCGCTGTTTCAGTCATAGCACTTCTACCTTGCCTCTGACAAGGACCATCATCTAGCGACCGGTTCATGTACTCTGCGTGCAACACGGTGCTGAACGCTCTCCACACTTGGTCTTCCTGAATCTTTGCGAATGTTATTATGCCCACTTCACAGAGGAAGGGACTGAGGACCAGGGGCCTTCCAGACGTGTCCAGGTTTACAGAGCTAGGAAGTAGCCCTGAATTAAGGAACTGGATTTAGAGGTTCTGATTTCAAAGCCGCCTTGCTCTGAGTAGAGCGGTGTCCAAAGAATGTCGTGACCGGGTCTGAAGTGTTGGTGACCTGAGCGCAGAAGCCAGTGGTTCTTCGCAGGATCAGATGTGGGCTTTTGCAAATATCCTGCAAAGGAAAGAAGGTTGCCCTGGGCCGCGCGTTTCTCTCCTTTCCTAGGTGAGCTGCCACTCCTCTAAGGCTGCGAAGGAAAGAGACCCTTCACCCACGCGAGTCCCAGTGGCTCTGTGGGAAACAGGATCGCACCTCTGTGGCCCGGTCGGCTAAGGAGAAGCAGCAAGGGGAAGGTAGGAGGCACCCCAACCACACCCAGCCGGTAGAACTTGTTTACGCCTCTTGCACGGCCCCTCCCGCCCGGCCCGGACACGTGACCGCCGCCCCGCCCCTCACTCTCTCGCGTGGCTCCTCCCGCCACGCCGGCCCTTCTTTTTGCCTCCTTCGGAGTCACAAGATCTCTCAGCAGCCTCCTTTTGGGATCCTTCCGCCCGTCCCCGCCCCCCCCTACCTTATAAACTCTCCTTGGTTTTTTTTCTCGACCAGTTCGCACTCTCAGTAATGAGCGAAATGACCTCTTCCGTCCTACGGTGCAGCCTACCGCAGTCATCTCTCACTGGGTTCGGGAGAGAGACGAGACCCCGCCGGGGACTCTTTTTCGTGGCGGAGGCTGCAGTCGGCCGTGGGCATTTCACGACGGGGGAGGTGCTGTACGTCCAAGATGGCGGCGCCCTGTAGGCTGGAGGAACTGTGAGGTAAACAGCTGAGGGGGAGGAGACGGTGGGTGAGTATGGGGGCGTCGCCCCCTCCTTCTCATGGGGGCTTCTCGGGGCAGTCCTGGCACCATGACCCCAGTCGGGGAGGCCCTGGGGGGCTGGGGCAAGGGGCTCCCTTGCTGGGGAGGGGACCCCGGGAAGAGGGGTTCGGAAAGCTTTCCCGTCCCTCTCATTATGCGCTGTCTCCGGTGGGGCCCGGCGGAGCTGGCGCGTCCCCGGGGAGGAGAGGCGGACCCGGCTGTCACCTCGCCCCTCCTCGGCGGCCGAGGGGACGGACGGATGCACGCTGGGGCCGCAGCGCCGGGGGCAGGGGCGAGGTGAGCCCCTTCGCCAGCCCCCCCGCTTGGTGGGGTGACAGGTTCCCGTCGGGTGCGGAGGGCAGGGGAGAGACCCCGGGCCGGAGGGTGAGGCTCGGGGGTGGGCGGGCTGGTCCCGGGGCTTGGTGAGCGCGGCCAGGGGTGGGGGCAGAATGAATGGAGGCAGCCTGTGGGCATCGAGGTCTCGCCCGGGCCCTGCCTCCGCCGAAAGGGGCCTGGCTGGAGTGCCTCGCGCCGGGTGTGCTTGTGGGTGTTTAATTGACGGCGAAAGACAGTTACCTGAAGTCAGCAGAGGCGATTCTTAAGGGACAGCTATTTGCAGAGCCACTCCTAGACGCTCATTCATTCATTTGAGGAACTGGAGGCTGGAGCGCTTGCAGTCAGAGACCTTTCAGAATGAAAGCCCCCATTGTGTTTCCTGGGTTTTCTGCTTGGTGTGTTTTGGGGTTTTTTTTTGGGGGGGGCGGGGGTGTCTTGAGAGGGGGTTTGGTCCTCCTACCTAATAACAGCTCGTGTTTATGGAGTACTCACTGTGGAAGAGCTTTGCAGTCATCATCTCCTTTAGTCCTCGGGACAAAGGGAATAGGCAGCGACTATTAATCCCTCCATTTCTCAGATGAAGACATTGAGGCCTGGAGAGATTAGGGTGATTTGCCCAAGGTGACAACACCTCTGGGAGTGTTTGAGCCAGGACTGGAGCTGGGGGTCTGACTGATTCCAAGACTGCGGGCCTGTCATTATATATACTCACATGACTCTGATTTACCTATGATTTGATCAAAGCTGGCCTGTCATTCTTATTAAGTGATTAGAATGGATCAGTTGAGCACAGTTTGTGCACAGGTGCATGTGTGTGCGCGCTTGATTTTGAAAAGAGGTAAACTTGCCTATATGTCTTAGCTTTTGGTTGGGATGGTAGTGGTGTGCATGTAAACGTGTTAGTCTAAATTAGGCTGGAAAGTATCTGATGTTTTAGAAAACGGATGAGTTTACTGCAGAAAGAAGTCCTGCTGAAATCCTCGCTGGATTTTTTTTTTTCATAGAAAACATAGAAATAGCACTTCACTTTACATAGAGTAAGCTGTAAAAGTACTCAAACAGAATAATACTCTTCTGAGATGCTTTGATTTATAATTTTGGGATCAGCTTGGAGTCCTCTGAATTCAAACAGGCCAGCAAAGTGCAGCTGTAAATTTCAAGAAGCATTATAAAAGCCAATCTTCTGGGAGCCTTGATTTACAGGGCAACCACCTGTGATTTTTAAGTTCAACATTCCTGAGTAAACCTGGAGTATGCAAATGTGGAAATTGATTTAGGGCTGTGCAAGGAAATGTACCTTTAACAGTCATGCATCAGGCAAATGAGGCTCCTCAGAAACACTGAGATAGTCTCTGCTACTGCCCTGGGGAGATGCAGGATCTTCTTTTAAGCACCTGGTATAAACTTAAGGGGTATTTATAGAAGACGTAAATGGAAAATATCCTCTTACTAAAGTTAATATCTTATCCAAAACACTCTTACATCATGTGCCTGCAAGGGTGGATGATGAAAGCTTCATGAATTTCCTGGTGTCATAAAAACTTGGTATGTTCCGAAATTCCTCGTTAGACAGATTTCAAGGTGGCTTCAAGCCTTCTGACTTGTTTTCATTAAAATTGGAGTGTCTCAAATCCTGTGACTCAGTTGTACTTTTCCTCGCTGTGTTCAGCCAAGGACCTCTGCCACTGCCACTGTTGTGGTGTAATATGATATGATCCCTTCTGTGCTTGCCTGGTTTCATTTGTGAGATGAAACTGAACAGTCTTCGTAGGACAAATCAAATACATACCTGTCTATGTGGTGTTTACAGAATAATGAAATTATCAAAAGAAGAGATCTCTAATAATAGTGTTCATGAGAACCTCTGTCACAGATGTCAGACCCCGCAGTAGGTAGACCTGTATATTTTGTTTTTGGGGACACCCTGGGTATATATTTTGGAAGAAGTCAAAGATGTTTTGGATATGCACCAGAGGTTGAGGACCAGTGGCTTAAAGTTTCAATTTGGCTTTTTTTCTTCTAATTTATAATTTATTGCAGAGGCATTTCTTAAAATAGCTTCTAACCTCTGATGTGTGCGTTGGTGGATGAATTTTGGACTCTGAATGACAGCTGACTTCATCTTGTAGCTCCATCTTCTTTCAAAGTTTGTTAGGGCACAGGTATGTTCTTTCTGGACTCCAGGACCAGTAGTGGACTCAAATTAGCTTCTGGAATTGATTGGATATTCTCGGATGCAGATGAGCCAAATACAGTAATATGTCAAGCATTTCAAGCTTTTCTAAAAGTCAAATAGTTTTCAACTTTGAGGAAGTCATTTAAGTTCTCTGAGCCTCATGTTCTTCATGTGAACTCAGAGAGTTGGGTTGTAAATTAATTTCTAAGTCTACATTTCTGTGATTGAATATTGTATGTCAACTATAATTATATATACATATAGTCACAGGATGTGGAGTAGAGTTTGGGAATGGAGTCAATGGAATTGTAATAGATAAGTATGATATCGGGGGTGGGAGGGCAGTAGATGGGGGAGGGTGGTTGTTTCTGTGTGAAGGGTGAAAAGGATAACTATTGCATTGTTCTGTACACCTGAAACTAACAATAAAAAAAATTATAATAAAAAAATAAAGTCCTGGGCCGGCCGAGTGGCGCGTTGCTTAAGAACTGGCTTGGGACGCCAGAGAGCCCCGGTTCGGATCCCACATATGAGGGCCAGTGACACTGCCCTCTACAGCTAAGATGGTGAACGGCAGCTCTACCTGGGGCTGGCCTGCCATGGGTCGCCGGTGACGGTGTAGGCTGCAGCCCCTGCTGCAGTGGGTTGCCATGGGCTGCCGTGTGTAGCCAGCAGCCACCGTGAGCGGCCATCCAGAGGCCGGCGACTGATCTGCCTCACCTAGGAAGAGCGCAATGAGGGTGCCAACTTGGGCCAGTGAAGCAACATCTTCCACAACTAGACTGAAGAACAAAAGGACAGCAACTTGTCTGTTTCCCTTCCCCCAATTCCCCAATAAAATCTTAAAAAAACAAAAAAGTAAAGTCCTCCTGGGGCTTCAGTTAAACATCCTGACTAAGTTGATTGAATTGAAGTGTCAATGGCTTTATAATAGCTTAGTGAATTGGTGACTTTCAGCCTGAGCAGTTGAATGACGACCTGTTTATCTTTTGGTTTATGACACATTATTTTTCTAAAAGTAATTTCCTATGAGTTCCTCATTATAAATCTCTCTTTGAAAGATTAGTTTTATTTGTATTAGTTTTGTCTGTCATTTAAGTAGCTACAATCATGAAAGAAGTATACTGAGTAGATGCAAACCTGTAGTTTTTTGCTTAAAAAATGTGTGTGTGTGTACATTTAGTATCTATACAAACACTGAAATTGTTCCCTCATGTTTAATATTTGGTTTGCATGAAATACCAATTTTTTCTATTTAAATTGGTCTGAAAGAGGTCTACCATCAGCAATTTGAGGTTATTCTTTTTCTGATTTACTTTTTAAGCCTATAATTACTAGAAATTAGTGATTTAATGTCTAATGTCATTTTAGGGGGAGAATTAAAAAAATCGCTATATTTATATTGATATTTGTATATATATATATATATCCACTCATTCTCAGGACTTTTCTTGTCCCTTCTTTTGTGCAGTGCTAACTTTTGTTCTATACAGGGAAGTTTTAGCAAAGGGTAACAATACTTTTTAAGGTTGAATGAATTCACATAGTCATCTAATGAGTAAAGTGCCTTAAAAAACAAACTTTGATACAAAACAAGGCATGGTAGTTACTGGCCTAGAACTCAGAGGTCTCTTTGTCCTTAAGGATAAGGGCATAGAGGCCATGAAGTATTTGAGTAAGGAGGGACAAGTTTGCCCTCGCGGTGATGGAAGCCGCGGTGAGGAGTGTGACAAAGAAGAACATGTGTAGTGACTTTAACGCCTGTGCTGGTTAAGACCAGTGTGGCTTCAGTAGTTCACAGAGCCCAGTAACAAACATGAAGTGTATTCGTTCTAAGTTATAGAATGTATCCATGTTTTAAATCCTTCTAAGTTATAGAATGTATCCATGTTTTAAATCCAAGTTGCTGAATGGATAGACTGCTGAGCCGTATGTACCCGTTAATACATTTTGTTGAGTAGTAATATTGTTATAACAAAGTTTATATTTATTGAGTACTGATGAGCCAAACTGCTGTGCTAAATATTTTACACATCTGAACCTATGAACTCTTCCCACAGCCTTAAGAGACAGGGTAGCGAGGTCAGGAAACTGAGGCGTCAAGTCACTTATTCAGTCGCTGAGCTGGAATTTGAACCCTGTTGGTTGACTCCAGAGCCCCAAAATTTAATATTTCACTGTGTTAAACTGCCTGAATTGCTAATCTCATAAACTAACTCATAGGTCAGAAGTTCTAAATTTTTTGGGGGGCCCAGTTTCCTTCTGAAAATCCATGGGAAACTGGACCAAATAGTCCTTCCCATCCCATTACCACCAAAAAAAAATTCATATAAATGTGAAATTTTGTCAGGAATGTCATGGACTCTGCTTGAGTCCAACTGATCCTTCTAGATAGGTTAATGCCCTTAAAAATGGACTTGGGCTTTATTAAAAACAAATTTTTTTTTTAACAAGTAGGTAGAAAAGGCCCAGGTTTTAAAAAAAATGAGCCTATGTTTGTATTATAAATCACTGTTCAACTTTTACATTGAAAGAGTCTTTCCATTTCACTGGGAATTCAACTTTAGGTGCCACATTAAAAAAAAAAATCAGCAGTGGAGAACTCAGGTACAGAACTTGCTCAATGCTTGTCAGGCTTGGCAGTCAGTCTGTGCTGGTACCTTCAGCACCTGGCACAATTTCATTGGGTTTTCCACCAACGTTTATGCACTATTTTTTTCCCCTTCAACCTCAAAATATATATATTTATTTAATGTTTCTTGGCTTCCTCCTTCATCTTCCTTGACCAGTGATCTTAACCTTTAGTGGGTATCAGAATCACCTAGAAGACTCCACTCCCAAAGTTTCTGATTCAGCGGTCTGGGGCAAGGCCCAATAATTTTTTTTTTTTTAAGGCCCAAGAGTTTGATTTCTAACGAATCCCAGGTAATGCTGATATTGCTGGTGTGAGGGCCACACCTGAGAATCACTGTCCCAGACCATTAAACCCTGTGCTTTCATTCCATGTATGTTTCTGTTTCAGTCCAATGAACTTGACAACTAAAGAAATCTTACAGCTTGCTCAGATTTCTTTTCAGGGAAGCTTTATATAGAGACTTTTTGAAACATAAGTGGTATCTGTCTTGCCTGTATTTTCTTGGTAAATAATTTTGCTCATGCTAATAGGAAGTCAAAACATAAGAAACATTATTTTAAAAAGATGTACCTTACCAAAATCAAGTTGTCTCTCAGGCATGCGCCTAGAAGATTCACTTTTGAAATAGGATATAAGCTTCAGCAAATTGTGCATTGGAGTCCCTAACAGCAAACTTCTGAATGGAGACTGTGGAGCTCTCCTGTCCCAGCTCATATGACCTTGAGAGGGACTACAACTGCTGAGACCATTTTATCCCACATGACTACACATTTTGGCAGGTTTTGCCATCAGCTGTTTTACTCACACACGAAATGGTAATTCCTACCCCTTTCTCTTTCCTTCTGTGCTTTGGTAGCAAGAGTGAATTGGATCTAACCCTTTTTGGGTACATTTGTACTGAAGGCAACTTCATTTACTTGATAGACTATTACTCTAAGAAATCACAAACATGATAGTATAATAGTATCTTATTAACATAATGTTATTACGTGTATTATTAACATAGGGTATCTGTATTATTAAGATAGTAGTGTAACATTTGTGCTTTACATAATGGAACAGTCCACCTATGCCTGAACCTGTGTCTGAATTGTCTTTGAATTTTTTAAGATAAAAACCTGAATATAGAAAACAACTTATAGTGAAGAGATACTGGCCTTCATTTTATACCTGCAGTTGTGTTTTTCATCATAGACGAGTATGTGCAAAATCATCATAGGCGATATGACATGCAGCGACCTATTATGTGGTTTGCAGTTCTGGAACTCCTCAGACGCAGAAGGCCACACACAACACTGGCTTCCCAGAAGTCTGACTAGTCAACTGATATTTTCAGATAAAGTGCTTTCTAAAGGCATCTTAGGCACCTGCCCCTAGTATTCAGAAAGGTGTGCGTAGCTCTTAGACCTCCCATAACTCATAATGTGTCTTGCCGAGGGCAGAGATAGGTGAAAAAAATGTGTGCGGGCCCCGCTGACGTCAGCTATCCGTGGCTATTATGCTGGAGTTCATATGTAATCCCAGGTATATGAGCTGCCGATCTGTCAACACCCTACAGTGAACTGTGAAAACAAATTGACCCATGTTTCTTCTGTTTGATCTAAAAATACTAAAGCTTCTTCTTCCTCATCTTCTTCCTCAAACCAACAGTTTTATTTTTATTCAAAAAGAGTGCTTGTAGAAGTGCAATTACAATGTTGCATTTAGGTGAGAGCACAACTTCAAGTTAGCACAAAGGACAAATCTAGACCTGGGGGCATTTTTTTAAATTTGGCTTTTGAAGCTAAGAACATGGATTGCCCCTGTCAGGCTCTGAGCAGCATTTCCATCCATACCCGTGAAGGGGGCACACATATCTTTGAGAAGGGCCTTCTCCATTCCTCACTCCCGATCAGGAAGTTCACAGGTCACATTTCACTTCACTGACCAGAATGATTCCACCCAGTGGTACCTCCATCGGACAGGATTTAAATATAAATTGATAAGGGAATAAACACAAATAATAAGTGATGGCGGGTAGACTTGACATGCCCACATTGCAGCGATGCTGATTTATCAGATTACCATTTTTTAGTGTAGTGGTAAAGACGCTCAGAAGCCCTAATGTTGAGCATTGGACAAAAGCTGTTCTTATTTCCTGTGCCAGGGCCTTTATCTAGGACAGTGATCTTGGCTGGGCAGGCTACGAGATCTCATCCTGGAGATATTCTAATTTTACCCTTGCCTTAGATATTCCTGTTCAGGTAAAAGATCCAACTGGGATTAATTGCAAGAGGAAGTCTATATGACTCACTGGACTAACAGCTGATTGTCAGATTCTGAAGATGAGAGGCTCCCGTGTTTTAATCCATCTCTTTACTTGGCTGAGTGACCGTGGCCCTGTCTGAATGGTTTGGTGGGCTTTCGGAAAGGCCATCCCGCCTCCCGGCACTGCACACACGTTTGCATATGCCACCGAGGACCATGGGTGGGTGATGCCTAGAATGCCATCCACGAGGAATGTAGTTACCTTGTCATCTGGAGCAGGAGGTCGTAGTCGTCAGGGGTTGCTCAGCCCACCAATTCGACTTTGAAGACCAAGATGTCGAAGGGCTTGTTTCCAAGCTCCGTGCTCAGTGGAATTTGGTGTAGAGTATATGAGGCCAGCTTTCATACTCCATACTCAGCCCTGCCATGGCTGCCAGAGAAGCTGATGAAATCTTGGGCCACCTGAACGGGGTGTATTTGCCTCTGTGTGCCAGAGCTGAAATCGGCCCTGGGTGCCCACTGCGGGGCCAGAGGGTCCCTGTCCTTGTGGAGCTTACAGTCTAGTCATCAGCCTGTACCTAAATAGGTTTGGAAGGGCTCACATTGTGAGAGCACCTGGAATGTATGTATTTATAATACTCATATTTATCATAGATATTTAATATGAGATAATTTGGGCAGAAGGAGTAGAGATGATAACTGTTCACAAATATTTTATGCTTGTCATATAGAAGGGTTAGATTAAGGTTGTGCTGTTTTGAAGGCAGAATTGGGCTTTGAACATTTATTTAAGAAATATTGTAACTCCTAGTCATTCAATCAACAAGTACAGTAAATCCTCACGTAACATCATCAGTAGGTTCTGTGACATTAAGCAAAGCGACATGTAATGAAACCAGTTTTACCACAGGCTGATTGATGTAAAGGAGAGTTGAGTTCCTACGGCATCTCCTCAGCATTACAGTGAAAGGGTGTTGAACAAAATAACGACTTTTTTCAAGGACCCGCTGTACCAGACACTGTGGTAGCTGCTAGAGATAGAGTACTGACTAAGCTGCTCCCCCTCCCTGGATGCAGCTTCTGTTCTAGCGAGGGAGACATGTTCAATAACTAATTACGCTCATTTAATTGGGTTCCGGTAAGTGACACACAGAAGGAGGGGCTGTGAAGAGGGCATTGACAGGGACCTGATCGGGCCTGGGACTTGGGATGGAAGGAAGTGAAGGCCTGCTCTCTGATGAGGTGAATGTTTAAGCTGAGAGTTTAAGCGTGAAGAGTGACCATGGGAAGGGCAAGGGTAGAGTCCCAGGCACAGGGACAGCGGGACATGGTCCTGAAGTGGGGACGAGGTGGCTAGGCTGGGAGGCTGAGAGGCCAGCAGGGAGGGAGGGAGTGGCGCGGCTGATGAGGCCACGCAGGCCCACGAGGTGCATTGTGCCTGGCACTGTTCCTTCTCCCGGGCCTGCCTCCCGGGGCTCCTTGGTAAGGACTCTGCCACACGCTGTGCCCCAGGCTATGGCGCTCCATCCCCTGTTGTCCCCACACAGCCTTATGAGGAAGACGCCATTGTTCTCCTTGCTTTGCAGATGAGGTAACTTGAGGTTAGACATTAGAGCCTTAAGATAAATCGCCAAAAGTTACCCGGCTAATAGGTGGCAGAGCTTGGATTTCAGCTCGGAGCCCTCTGACTCCAGGGCCCGTCCTGACCTCACTGCCCTTTTGTTTATAGCTCTGATAAACAGGCAGTTAACAAAAGGCAGAGATTCCAAGTTCAGCACAATATGAAGAACTTTCCAGCACCCAGCTGTTGAGAAACGTAGACAGGGAGAGGCACGTGCACCCAATGATTGTAAGTGTTCGTTCCAGTGGAGAGCAGATGGCCACCTGTCAGGGACAGAGCAGGAAGGAGGCTGAACCAGACGAACCCTAAACTCACCCTAGCTGCTTCTGGTTCACGTCACTGTAAGGTTATTACATATTTACATGTGTGTTTTTTCCCTTCAGTGACCATGAAAGACACCAGGTTGACAGCACTGGAAACTGAATTACCAAGCATCCCCAGAACAGGTAAGGCAGCAGCTCCGTCCACGGGTCGGGGGAGGACAGAAGGGAATTGGCCATCTTGTCCATGGTTGTGCTGGCACATCCATGATTCTCTGCATTCAGGATTTAGCGTTGATGGTTTTAGCTGCTTGCCAGGAGGTGGACCTTCTGTGGCATGAAGTAACTGGTCGAATTCCTGATGATTTCTGAGTTGCTTGTTCAGTGCCAGGCACTGTCAAATGCGTTGTGTGCGTTACTTGTTTTCTTCACAGCCACATGCTTGGTGTATCCCCATTTTACAGATGCAGACTCGGGTTCTGAGATGTTACGTCCTTTCCCTAAGGTCATGTGGCTAGTACGTGGTGGACCCATGACTTGTATAGTTCCGTGTAGCGGAAAAGTTTGGTTTTAGTCACTAAATTACATTGAAGCCTGTGTGTTGGAGCCAGTCATTTAACTAGCGCAGACGTTCTCAACCAGCCTGTCTTAGAAATGCACTGGGGTCTTTCTGTACACATAACTTTGATGTAAACCAAATGCACTCTCTGGCCCCCGCCCCTTCGGCAGTGGGGCCTGGGTGTCGGGGCTTTGTAAACTTTCCAGGTGACTGAGGTACATCCTGGGCCGAGAACCCCCAAGCTAGTGACTTAGCATTTACAGCTTAATGTGGCTTTATCTGTGGATTGTCCAAATTAGTTTTTGGGGCTTAACTGTATGCTGTCGTCGTTTCTAGGAATTGGGGGATTCTGATCCCAGAATTTATCCTTCATAAACACTGAGGCCCTGGCATTTCTGGGGAGATGAGTTTAGTCCTGGTGGCCGGACTGAGCTCTGAGCTGTAATTTTGAGTTTCAGCAGGAGCACCCAGTGCAGCAGCATGCCGTGTCTACGGGCAGCGGGCAGCGAAGGGCTTGGCTTTGCTCTTTCTACACAGACAGCTGACGGCTTCCTTTAATGGCTCGCTGGTTGCCGTTTACTAGATTCTGTCACTGCCTCACCTTATCTGCAGGAATTGTGAAATGAGGAGGGATTTTTGCCTTAAAGACCAATGTCTGTCCACAAACAAGGACTTAATATAGATTGCAGACCATCTAACAGGAAGGCGGAGGCGTCATTCTCTCACAGGTAGGGGAGGCTTTCTAAGTTGGACTTCCCATTTTCAAATTTTGTGTGTGTACTGAACACTGTCCCTTTTGTAGAGATCCACTGACTATGAATTTGAACCCAGTGTCTGATGGTCAGGGGTTCATATCCTTGAGGCCCAAACTGAGTAGCACACATACTAAATCTCAAATTTTATGAAACATTTTTTTTTAAAGATTTTATTGGAGAATTGGGGGAGGGGAATAGCATTGGGGAATTGGGGGAGGGGAGGGAACACACAAGTTGCTGTCCTGTTGTTCTTCAGTCTAGTCGTGGAGGACGTTGCTTCACTGGCCCATGTTGGTATTATCATTGCGCTCTTCCTGGGTGAGGCAGATCGGTCGCCGGTCACTGGATGGCGGCTCACGGCAGCTCACACCGGCTGCTGGCTGCTCATGATGGCTGCTGGCCACACATGGTAGCCCATGGTAGCCCACTGCAGCAGGGGCTGCAGCCCACACCATCGCCGGCAACTCACGGCAGCCCATCTCCCGGTTGAGCTGTTGTTCACCATCTTAGCTGTAGAGGGCAGTGTCACTGGCCCTCATGTGGGATCCGAACCGGGGCCCTGCTGTACAGAGCTGATGTCCCAAGCCAGCTCTTCACCGATGCGCCACTCAGCCGGCCCTGAAACATTTTTATTACTACAATTGTGTCACATTTTAGTAGCCAGGTTTTTAAAGTTTGACATTTTAATGCGGGACCAATATATGCCAGCACTGTCAACTGCTGGGTCGCACCTGTGGCCACTGTGGTTGCATGTGTGACACCAAACAGACAGCCATCTCCAGCTGCCCCATGGTCCCATCACTGGTGTTTTTGGACAAAGCACGTTATAATGCAGGAGAGTTTCTGGTAGGTTGTTTTCTGGAAGGAACTGTACCTGGGATTCATAGCTCAGGAAAGCCTCAAATATCCTTCATCTTCAGCTACTGAAAATTGTTTGCAGTCATTTTGACAAGCTTTTCGTTGAAATTTTTAGCCTTCATCATTGCAAAACTACGAGGAAGTGTAAAGCGTTTTTGTAAAGTGTGAAATTTGACTAGTGAGTACAAAATGGGCTTTTGAGTATTTCAGTTTTTTCTTAACATTGTTTTCATTATACTCTTCATTTTTTTTTATGTTTGGCATGAAGATGGATACTGTTGAGGTTGATTTTGGATTTTTTTCATGTCTCAAAATTGAGATGACAGGTAGACATTTTAAATTTTATTCATCCTGACAAGATGTGAAGTATTCCCAAATATGACTTTTTCTTGAAAGACTACAAATAAATGCAGTTCTTAAGGTTATTTTGTAGTAAATGCTACAAAACAATCCTCTAGAAGTTAAAATGAAAATATAATTTCTGTTATTTAGCCAGGTATTAAAATTTTTGTGATAATTGACTCAGAGTAATTACTATTATTTATAAATTATCTAGATAATCTACCATCTTCAGATTTGTATTATTAGTTAATATATTTATTTGGAAGTTTGTAATTGCTTTTAAGTATAAAAATCACATCATGAACTGAAGCTTCTATTTTTATAAGTAAACATTTTTACTTAAACTGACAAAATTTCAACTTATAAAACACAAAACTTGGATGTTACTTCCAGAATGTTTTCCCTTTATTTGAAAGTGATTATTCAGAGCATTCCAGGGATGGAGGGAACAGCGAGTGCAAAGCCATCGAGCAAGAACCGGCTGTCCCAGGTTAGAGAAGGCTGAGACTAGAGCGGGGCGATGAAGAGGAAGCGTGAGGACAGAAAGGCGGACGCAGCGTGGGCACGCACAAATGGCCGACACACGTGGCGCCTTAGGCCACTCGTGAGTTTGGCTCTTGTTAGCTCCCTGCGAAGCCACTGAAGGATTTTAAATGGGAGTGATAGATTCTGATTTCCATATTTCAGAGTCTCTCGTGGTTGTTTGGTGGCAAATGAATGGTAGGGGAGCAGGAATGCAAGCAGGGAGCACAGTGAGGGAGGCTGCTGGCCTCTTGTCTCCAAGGGGACACGGTGGGGGCTTGGACGTGGTCGACAACAGAGGGGATAGTGAAATCAGTGGGTTGCTGATGGATTAAATGTGAGGGGAGGAGTGATTGAAGAGTCAAGGATATCACCTAGCTGTTTGCTTTAGACTGACGGTCGTGCTTTTTACTGAGATCCAGAAGACTGGCAGCGACAGGGTTTGGTGGGTGTTGAAAGTCATGGCTCCTTAGTATAAACAGCACCATCTATAGCACTGTGCTGTGGCACGCGCGGCCACTAAAAATAATATTAAAGTAGACAGAATGTTGCTTTGGCGTGTAGATACAGAGTGCATTAACCCAGATACTGACTTTTGGCTTCTTCTGTCTCCTGTTTTCTTTTCTTTCTTTCTTTTTAGAAACTTTGTCCATTTATTTATTTATTTATTTATTTATTTATTTATTTATTTATTTTTATTGGGGAGCAGTGTGGTTTTTCAGGACCCATCAGCTCCAACTCAGGTAGTTGTCTTCAATTTAGTTGTGGAGGGTGCACCTCAGTGGCCCATGTGGGAATCGAACCGACAACCTTGGTGTTATGAGCCTGCGCTCTAACCACCTGAGCCAATGGCCATCCCTGTCTCCTCTATTTTCTATACTCAGTTGCTTCCAAAATGGAAGAGAGACTTTCATGGCTGTGAGCGCATGTTTCACTGCCTGTGGTGCTAACCTTTAAGCGACTTTTTCTAGCCAGTCTTTTGTAGGCTGTAAAGTGTGTTTTACATGTGTGCGTCTCACCCACCAAGTCCAGTTCGAGCTGGTCTCTTCCCGCCTTGGTGTACCCGCTGAACCACGTGCACGTCCTACTCGCGCACATATAACTCTTCATTGCACTCGCTCAGCCTGTCTTCCCTGCATAGCACCCTGCAGTTGGGCCTTCCAAGAAATATTTGAGTGAGTGTAAAAACAGATATTCCAGTCACGGGACTGATTCCAAAAGCTTATGATTTTACTCTTTTGAGGGCTTTTAGAATATCAGAAACCCTTGAACTTGGGTCACTTAAACGAAGAATCTTACACAAAGCTCAAGATTTTTATTTTTTCTGGGGATTAGAAAATATGGTTAAAGGTAGAATTTTAGAACTACAGAGAAAAGCTTGTTGCCAAAAATGGTCTAATGAGTTTCAGATAAAACCTTATTTTCGCCTTCTGTAAAGCATTTGGAAGGAGTAGCCTTCAGAAACCAGACTTTTACGCCTAAATTATATTTACAAACCAAAGAACAAGCTAGATAGTCCAAGCCGGTCAGCCCTGACTGTCGCCAAGTTGACTGGATGGGCGCCATCTTTGTTTAGAATTGAGCTCATGTCGCTCTGTGCTCTGGGCTGCCTGCATTTGGGGGAACAGCTCTGACATGCTTGTCTTCTGAATACACTCGGCTGATACTAGGTAAGTAGCAGTGTTTTGGGAACAAAACCAAATTTGGGGACAAAACGCTTTTACATTTGAGAATCACTTGTGATTTATCTGGAGTAGAAGTGAACTTGGGGCTAGGAAGATAAACGTGCTATTAAAATGTCGTCTTGAAAGTGGTGTCCCAAAGATTTTTCTTAGAATTCTTTCTGATAGTGTACAGGTACTGCTCAGTGAGTGTTTATCTGTACCAGGTACTGTGCTAAGTGTGTGACATATCTCATTTAATCCAAGGAAGACTAAATCCTGACAGGTTGGTTTATCTTCACTTATAAATTTAATTTAATCCAACTCACAACAAGGTGAAATTTGTTTCTCTTTTCAGTTTTGAACTCTTTTTTTTTTCTTTTTGGTAAAGATTTTATTGGGGAATTGGGGGAGGGGAACAGCGCTGGGGAATCAGGGGAAGGGGAACAGACAAGCTGCTGTCCTTTTGTTCTTCAGTCTAGTTGTGGAGGACGTTGCTTCACTGGCCCATGTTGGTATTATCATTGCTGTCTTCCCGAGTGAGGCAGATCGGTCGCCGGCCTCTGGACGGCCGCTCACGTTGGCTTTTGGCAGCTCACACCGGCTGCCGGCCACTCATACTGGCTGCCGGCCATTCATGGTAGCTCATGGCAGCCCCACTCAGCCTATGCCATTGCTTACCATCTTAACTGTAGAGGGCACAGCATCACTGGCCCTCATGTGGGATCCGAACCGGGGCCCTGCTGCTCAGAGCTGGTGTCCCAAGCCAACTCTTAACCAACGTGCCACTCGGCCGGCCCGGAAATTGCATTTCTGACAAGCATCCCAAGTGGTTTTTTTTTTTTTTTTAGCTGAGCCATCCCGCCACCTGTTGGCAGCTCACGGCTGCTCAGCTCGGGCTGACTCGAACCGCTGTTGCTCAGAGCTCAAACTCTTGAGCGAGCTCTTAACCAACTGAGCCACTCAGCCGGCCCTCCAAGTGGTTTTGATAGACACTAAAGCTTGAGAACTGTTAATTTAGCTTACCCAAAGAAAAGCAAATAGAAAATAAGAGTATATTTTAATACGGTTGCAAATGACATGTGCATTCATTGATTGGCCTGGGAGCTGGGCCACCTATGTTCTGCTTTACCTTGTGACCTTGGCAAAATTATTCTTTTGGAGCATCTGTGTTCTCACTTGTAAAATAAGAATAATTCCTGCTTGCCTCACAGAGTTGTGAGAGTCAAAACCACAAGCTATCTTAATGTCATGTTGAAGGCCTTGAGGCTTTGGACTTAGCAGATCAGGGCTCAGATTCCATTTCTTCCCTGGCTTTGCCTCCTGCTAGCTTTGGGACCCCAAGCCAATGGCTTGACCCTGTTTCTATCCCTATAAAATGGGGACCAAAAAACCAATCACACGGCACTAGTATAAGAAGTATATTCGCTGGTTTTGTGAAAGGTGTGCAGTGCCTGCTAATAAACGGTAGTTGTTATTACTTGTTTTTGAAAATAGAGCCCAAAGTGGGGAGAAATGCATAAGTGAAGGTGTGCATAGCCACACTGGGCGAGAGCTGTGTTTTGTACGTGAAGATGAGGCCGTTGCTCCACTGCCATAAAGAACCGAGTTTGGAAGGTGAAGGCGCACCCCGGTGCCCCTGCTGCTTTCAGTGACCCACGGCCTTTGGGTGCGCGGTCGATGTCTAGGAGAGGAGTGTGCACTAAAAATGGAGAAGTGACCCCTGGTTCAAACTAGGTATCAACCCTGGGGACTTGTGACCCCAGCAGCTACACTAAGTTGGAGACATTGATGCGATTGTCAAGAGGAAAATAGGATGCTTTTAGTTCTTTTTCTGAAAATAGTTCATCTACTTTTTAGATCGGTGATTTGAAACATACACATAATCTTAGCCAAAGCCCAAGGTAGAATCAGAAGTAGGAATAAAACTTGAGTTTGGTGCTTTTATTGAGTTGCTGCGATGATCGGTGCTGACTGGTGTGTTTTGTAGGATTCTCTCTGATGGTTCCATTCTGTAGAACTCCTCTTCATAAGTTCATCAAAGAGAGAATTCCTCGCACACCCTAGCTGCTTTTGTCAACAGAGTCTCATGTTGTCAACACTTCTCATGGCACCAAACACATGCTCTGGCTTGTCCTGCAGGTAGTTTTTTTAGGGGAAAATGGGACCGTTTTGTCACACTGTCCTCTTGCTTTTTCTCAGTCTGGTAGTGGCACCAATGAAGAGCCTGCAGCGTCTTTAACGAGCGCCCTGACCCTGTGCAGCGCTTCCGTGTGAGACAATGGCCCAGCAAGCGAATGTTGGGGAGCTGCTGTCCATGCTGGACTCCTCCGTGCTGAGTGTGCGTGATGACGTCACGGCTGTCTTTAAAGAGAACCTCACTTCCGGTGAGCAAGACCACATTGTCTCCGGCTTATCTGCTAATCAGAGATTGACCTGGAGGCGACTAGAATCCTGCCCATAAATCCTGGCTCTCGTCTTCTAAGGAGCCTTTAAAGCCATTAATAAAGAGCATACACTGGTGGATTCACTCTATATATGTTTCTGGCTTTTAATTGTGGAAATATTCAAATATACACACAGATATAGACATAAGAATGCCATCATGAGCCCCACAAACCCAGCGCCAAAGTTCCTGCCATTCTTTTGTCTTACATCCCTGGCTCCCTCCCACCCAATGTTTTTAAAGCAAATCCCAGATATATCATTTTACCTGTAAATCAAATATGTGATTTTTAACAGGAAAATTGCTTAACCTCTCTTTAATCAGAGGAATACAAATTTAAATAGTGCCCTTTTTTGCTTACCACGTTGGTAAAAATCAGATATTGATCATAGAAATGGACGTTGTTAGCAGGAGAATAAATTGTTTAGCCTTTTTGGAGTACCTATCATCAATGCAAAAACGTGTACCATATGGTCCACTTGTAAGAATCTGTATTTCATTACAGCCTTAAATGAAATACAGTGAAAAATTGGAAAAGCCCATTGTCCGTCAGTAGACGGGTGGTTAAATTACATACAGCCACACAGTGAGACCAAGAGGTCAGGAAGGTCATAAGTGGTGACATGGGAAGGTGTCTGCACCACCTTATTAAGTGGAAACACACACACACAGGCTATGGGTATATGGACGTGGGGCTGTGTGTGTGTGTGTGTGTGTGTGTGTGTGTGTGTGTGTGTGTGTGAGATTATACATTAGGAAAAGATGTGAAAGGACATGTATGAAACTCGGGTGTTTTCTGCAGAGTGGCTCGGGAGGCAGGTGGTGAGGAGACTTTCACTTTTCTTTTACGTGTTTTCATATAGTCTGAATTGTTGACAGTGGACACAAATTATTTTTGTAAATAAAAAAGATAGCATTTCATGTGCTTTCATGCATATTTAGGCAGATCAACTTGGTATCATCCTATTGGTAAACCTAAATTAATGTAAGGAGGCAAAAATACAGTGCTTCATAAAACTTTGGGGAGCATCTAAGGAAACACGTTCTGGATTTTGTGACAAGTGACTATTTGTGGGAAATTTAGACTGTGAAAGGAAATAACTATTATCGACTGCCTTTTTTTTTTTATTCAGACCGTGGTCCAATGCTTGTAAACACCTTGGTGGATTATTACCTGGAAACCAATTCTCAACCGGTATTGCAGATCCTGACTACCTTGCAAGAGCCACACGATAAGGTAGCTGCTAGAATGTACTAGTAGGGCGTTCTACACCTTTTCTGCGAGCCGTGCGGTAGCGTCTGTGCAAACCCGCGCTGTGCGGCCCGCCCAGAGCTTACTCCTGCCACCTGTGTGGGCCAGAGAGGAGGAGGTTTCCAAGTTATAGCCACATGTACAGACAATTTGCAGGACCCGTGTTTCCTGAAAAGTTTACAAAATAAAACATTTCAGAGGCTTTTGCAGCTCTTGCTGTTTAAAGCAATCCTGTAATTCCAGTACTGTAACTGCAGTGACATCTGGATCCATAAGGCACCCTGCTTTAGAGCCGTCGACTTCTAATCATTATGGGAAAGTCTGTACGTGCAGGTAACCAATGGGGCTCCTTGACGAGTCCCTTGCCCAGCACGAGGCCCCTGGAAGGTGCCTTATGTTTTGCTTTTGCTCTTATACTTTTGTTGGCGGTAGATAGCCAACAAGGCACTGTAATGGCAGACTGGGGGAAGTCTGGAGCTCATGTGCTAGTGACTTTCTTTCCTCGGATTTTAAGGCCTTGCCATTGACTGCCTTTCACAGTACATCGTGTTTATTGTTTCCTCTGGGCCGAGTTTTAACTTCTTTTACCTGATTTATATTTGGGGCCAACCGTGTGTGCTGGGCAACTGTAGCAATAAGTCACTGCTTCCAGCAGGGTCCCCTCACAGCTTCCACCCACCACACAGGCGTGAGACCAGAGGTTATGGTAACAAGCGGCCTATTGGGACTTCAAAGAGAGTGACCTCCCACAGGCAGGCCTGTGTTAGGGGACCCATTCTCAGGAATTGCAGACCGGCTGCCTGGCTCAGGCCAAACGCAACACTGCTGCTTTCCCTCGTGGTTTATAAAGCCTTGAATTTGACCTCTTTACCTGCATGACCCTCGCTTTACATCAGAGGAAAGACTTGTAGGGCTGGAGTACCTCACTGCTGTTATTTGCATTAACTTCGTACATCCATGTGGGGATTTCCCTGCGTTCCCTTGACACCCCTCCCCCACAGCTTTATTGAGACATATTTCCTTGTTCTTTCACATTTTTAGCACCTCTTGGACAAAATGAATGAGTACGTGGGCAAAGCCGCCTCTCGGTTATCCACCCTCTCCCTGCTGGGACACGTCATAAGGCTGCAGCCATCTTGGAAGCATAAGCTCTCTCAAGCACCTCTTTTGCCTTCTTTACTAAAATGTCTCAAGGTATGATGTTTATAAGGATTCCAGCCAAATGACTTTATCAGTATCGTTTCTGAAATGTTGAGTAACTGCAAACAAGCAAGCTAGGTTTCAACTTTGCGAGTTTGAAAACTCCTAGGCATTTGGCTTTTCTCACTAAACACCAGAACTGGTACTTAGCGGGTACGTTCTCAGTGCGTCACCATGACTGTCGGGTATCTTTTGTCCAAGCACAAACGGTACCATTTCAGTCAGATGGGTTCAGCATTACGTTGTCCCAGCCCTCTCGGATTTCATCATCGTCTAGCCTTCCCTCAGTTAAAAATAGGCTACTTTGTCTTTGGGGAAGCCCATTTCTGAGTTCCCTCTTAGCCAACAGAAAAAGGGCTAACAGGCTCTGAACCATTTAGGAGCGTTTCTGGTTGCAGCTCTAATGAAGGTGCCTGCTGAGTTGCATTCTACTTTTCTGCACTAGCCTTAGTGTGTGTTTCTGCACCGGGAGGCAAAGCCTAAATAGAACTTGAGGGTTTTTGTGTTGACAGTGGCTTGCTGAAATACTCAGGGCTATTTGCTTAATCTGTTTTAGTGCCTGGACTTGTTTCCTATCTATAAAATGAGAAATTGTGGTTAATATTAACTGCCTGTACCTCACAGAGACATGAAAATATCCAGTAGTATTTGTTCCAGGATGGCAGTACCTTTGGGTTCATCTGATATAGCACTGTGCAAATTGATTTTTGTCTCTGCCAACAAGTGTAACTGTTTCATTATCCATAGAGGTGGGTTCCAAGGAGTCACACTGGTGGGGGCCATACGACCTGCATGTAATGTTAAGGAAAAACAGGAACAATTTTAACAACTTAATTTTTTAAGTGAATGGATTGATGAGAGTGTAATTCAATTTTAAGGCACACCACTTAGTTCAGATTGCAAAACTACTTATCTTTTCCCAGAGGATAAGCCTTGAAAATCACTCCTGGACTATTACCCAAGCCTTCGGTTAGAATGTTATAAAATTAGGGTTAGTCCTTTTTACTGGAACTCATTATGTATTCTTGATTCTCCTACCAATATTTTATGTTCTTCTTAGGTATCTGCCATAACAAAAGATATGGTGCTTGATGTAAAAACTGAATATATTTAAAACTTGATTTCCAGACTCATAGATTCCGTTTTCAATAGGAATAATGAATGTCTTAGCGTGCAAGGAAGTCTTTTGATTACTATCTTATTTCTTAAATCTGAATTCTGGTTACTTGGCAAACATTCATGATTTAATTATGGGTCAGGTGAGCTGCTGTAGCTAGTCTAGTTGATTCATTATCCATTGGGTATTAAGTGTCTTAAATTAGCCTAAAGTTATAGGACTTGATATTTAAACTGCAGCCGTGGTCAGAGGTCACCATATCTTTTTTTACTTTCTAATTTCTAAATACTGTTGCAAAGGTGAGCCGTGAAATAGACTTGTTAGTGCTATACTAATTTCTTGAGTTGTAATCCTTTAAAGAATAGTGGAATTACTTGTCAATGTGTAGTGTTTTTAAAATTGACTTTGAAAAGGTAAATATTTTAGGATTTGGTTGAATGAACAAAAACAGCAGCATTCCTTTGTTTTGTTAAAAAGCTCCTTCTTTCCTTCCTCCACGTGCTGGTCGATTGGACATCCTCAGGCTTTGGGACATGGGAGTTGCCAAGCCAAGTTTAAGTTCCTCTCCCAGAGGACGTTATCCAGGGCACTGAAGCAGTTCTTGCAGACTCATTGCAGCCAGGCTGGTCCTCAGTAGTCTTTCTGCTGAGTCTGTGTCAGTGTGTGCCTCCAAATCGCTGAGGGGTTTATGGGCAGGGAAAGGCGTCCGAGCAGACCTCTCACTGGTGATCCCCTTGGTATCTAGAACCTCTGTGTGCCGTCACGCTCACCCCAGGGCTGCACCTGACACGTGTTTCTTGTGCAGATGGACACTGATGTCATCGTCCTCACAACAGGCGTCCTAGTGCTGATAACCATGCTGCCGATGATCCCACAGGCAGGGAAGCAGCACCTGCACGACTTCTTCGACATTTTTGGACGTCTTTCGTCGTGGTGCCTCAAAAAACCAGGTAAAGCTCTTCTGTGTGCCTTTCCCCCCCCCCCAGATGAAGCTTCCATTACTGAGAACAGGTCGGGAGCTGTGAGGGAAGGACAGGCCGGATTTGACAGCTGGGATGGGTGGTTGTCTCTGGCCAGGTGAGGAAATAGCTTGGGTGTGTCCCCTGGTCACAAAGAAGCAGCTTGACTTGAGATACCTTCCTGGTCCTGTGGGCTTAAAGGATTAGTTCTTAGGTAGGATGCGGAACTTCCTGATTTTCAGTAAAGCGAAAAACAGCTTCCGTCTGTGCTGTAGTGGTTAGGCCTGAGCCAGCGGGATGGTTTGCCTTCCCCCGCCGGTCTGTTGGGACAGAACACACACTTCTGGTTCTCAGAAGCTGTTCAGTGCATATGGAGGAGAAGGTGGAGAAGGGAAAACGCAGCATGTCCTAATTAGTGTTCTCGTTTCCAGTGCAGTGGGATTTTTCTCCATCTCGGCAGGTAGCATGGCCCTGTCAGAACACTTCAGAAACTAGAAGCACGTGACATTCAGGGTCTTGTGGTGATCCCAGCATGACACGTCCCTGTTGAAAGATGGCGTGTGCGAGCCCTGTGGCTTCCGGTACAGGATGAAGTCCAGCACAGGCTCATGTGACGCTGCCTTATTTAATGGGCTCTTCTTGGGGCAAAATGGATGGCCTGGCCCTTGTACGAGAAGCTTTATGTATACTGTGCACTTGGGGGTGTAGGGAAGCCTAGATTAATCAACTCAGTTTTCTTTGTCCCACTCTTAGCTCTTTAAGCTAATTTCAGAAGAGTTTTTCCATTCTATAGTTACAAATCTGCATAGCTCAGACTACATAGTGATTTTAAAAGGCTCTCATACATTTATTTGTTCGTTCCCCAAATATTTGCGTGCCTGTTGTACACCAAGCACAGTGCAAGGCACTAAGAGTACAGAGGGTAAGACAGTGCCGTTTGCAAGACCTGATGCTCCCAGGGCAATGGAGACGTGTAATGACCAAGTTAGGGAAAGCGAGTGACTCTCGTGATACAAGCAGTTCAGTATTGTGAGACTGTCTGGGGTCTTTTTAAAGGAGGACTGGAGAACAGGGCAGAGATTGGGGCACGCAGAGCCTTGTGGGTCACTCGGAGTGGATTGGAGTTTGTCCGAAGCCCGTAGGGAGCCAGTAGGGGTCTGGTGTGTCCGCACCTGCGCTTGAGAAACCATTCTCGCTATCTTTGGAGCAAGGTGGGAATGTACGGAAGCACAACGCCAGGCTGGTGGCCTCGGGCTCATGTCTCTCGCACACACCCATCTCGTGTGCAGCTGAGAGTCTCCTTTCAATGTTTCCGTTTTCAGGCCATGTCACAGAAATCTACCTTGTCCATCTCCACGCCAGCGTGTATGCTCTCTTTCATCGCCTCTATGGAATGTACCCTTGCAACTTTGTCTCCTTCCTACGGTCTCACTACAGCATGAAGGAGAACTTGGAGACTTTTGAGGAAGTGGTCAAGGTAAATGAACCCTCGTTCATTTGATCCTGTGTAGACAGGCTGCATTTAACAACTTTTGTTTTAAATGGTATTCAGGAATTTTGCAAAGAAGTTCTGCTGCGTGCCCCCCCTCTCCCCCCGCCCCCCGACAGCCCTAGGCAACCACTGATCCATCCACTTTCTGCCTTTGTAGACTTGCCTGTCGTGAAGATTTCACACGAATAGAATCATAATGTGTGCTCTTTGTGTCTGGCTTCTTTCATTTAACACAGTGTTTTAAGGTCCATCCGTGTTGTAGTTCGTATTAGTACTTCATTCCTTTTTATTGTCAAATAATAATTCCGTTGTGTGGAGATACCACAGAAATTCAGCCTTTTATAATTTGTCAATCCAAACTCTTCTAGCCAATGATGGAGCATGTGCGAATTCATCCGGAATTAGTGACTGGATCCAAGGACCATGAACTGGACCCTCGGAGGTATGGAAACTGTAGTGACAGCATTTTAGAGAATCTCATGGGAGATTGAAAATGTGGTCTAGGAGTTGCCCCTCTGGGGTCTTATTTGAAGGACTTGTGCAGTGAAAACTTTCCTTTCCTCCATTGTTTCTGTCTTTTTTTTTAGAATTCGTAGTTTTCAAATTGGGACCTCTTGGAGTGGTTCTCTGCTTTTCTTTGCTCCCCTGTTTTTTCTCTCTGCTCTTTTGTTCTATTTCCTGAAGATGTTCTTATCTGTAGTTTTTAATCCTTCTATTATAGTTTCATTTCCACCACCATGTTTTCAATACCTAAGAGCTCTTTAGTTCTCTGAATGTACCTTTTTTTATAGTAGCCAGTTTTTGTTTCATGGATGCAAGCTGTCATGCCTTTGATAATGTTGGTAGTCGGGCTTTTTTTTTAGTGGTTTTGAGAGGTTGTACAATTGGATGTGTATGTTCAGTCTACTTGATTAACTTAGAATCTTCTGGGACACGTACAGAGCTCCACTCGCCTTGATTGGCAGAGGTCATCTGGCTTTTGAAGAAAGCTCTAACACAAAAGATAAGAGACCAATGTAAAGAAGACAAAAGGGAGCTAGAAACAATGATAATACAGAGAGCAGCAGATATGTCTACAGTAGCTACAGAGATGAGGTATCTATCCATATATACAAAGGTCAGGATGCCACAGAAGGGAACAGTCATAAAAAAGAAAGAACTCTTGAAAAATGATACCCATAATAAACATTTCTGTAAAAGGAATTGGAAGGTTAACTGAGAATGCCTCAGAAAGCATAATCAAAGGCTAAAGATAAGTAATATGGAAAGAAGGATGAGAAATTTAAAATAATCAGTCCAGGAAGCCCAACATCCAATAACAAAGAGTTGTAAAAAGAGAGGAGAAAGCTTTGGTGGGGGAAGAAATTGTGAGAGAAATAGCAGAAGAAAATTTCCAATACAAGTACAAATAATACAAGAAAACATAACAATGCAAGAATTGAAGGATGTAACTTTCCAGATTGAAGGGACTTACTTAATGCTCAGCTTAATCAAGGAGAAAGAATGCTGCTAAGTCTCAAAACTGTGAAATTTGAGACTTAGGGATAAACCTTTTAGAGCGAGAAAAGACCAAGACAGTAAGGATCAGAAATCAGAACGTTTCTGAAACACCTTCAAAACTGAGAGAAAAGGATTTTCAACTTAGAATTCTATACTCAGCCAAATTGCCTATCAAGTAGGAGACATTTTTAGATATGCAAGGACTCAAATTTATCTCATAGACACTCTCTCAGCTAAGCACTGGGACACGTGTTTCACCAAAACGAGAGTAAAATCAAGTAAGACCCCAGAGTCCAGGAAACGGTGCACCTGACTTAGGACCATGGTCCCGGGGAGTCCCGGGATAAACACCGTGTAGCAGTGCTGAGAAGAGCCAGTCCAGACAGAACAGGAGCAGAGGGCCCCAGCAGGAGGCTCTTTAGGGAGAGGGTGAATAATCCTGGTAGGCTATTTGCATTTCATTATGTAAAAGTTACATCAGGCATTGTTTCAGAGCTGTTAGAGTAAGCTTAGGAAGAATTAGTAATGGATACACAGAAGACTGAGGAAAAGGAGCAGAAAAAGTCACACTCCAGGACAAACTCAGTCGAGTAAAAAAGAAACTATTGTTGTAGAATAGTTTCTACAACAATAGTTTGGCTCAGTCCTGAATAGTACTTATGTAGTCATAAGTTGAATTGTTGAAAATCAATTTCGAAAAAGAACAAAACAACAATACGTTTATTTTGAGAGCATTGGGAAGGAGGGAAAAGGATATATGAACGTGACCTAGGTCCTCACCCACCAAAATTATATTGTCTAAAAGAAGGGAAGTTTTTACTTGAGCAGGGAAAAGTTGTATTAAGTATTAAGGCTTTGTAGAACATCTGGCAAATACTAAAGAGGTGAGGGAAACAAAAAGCCATCACACATAATTTCAGGTCTTCTAATTTGAATTCTTAGTGTGGTCATATCTCTGTTTATGGGTATATCTCTGAGTAGTTTTGTATCCTTTATTCATGTAGGATCATATCCTGAGCATTTTATGTCATTTAATCTTTGAAACCATGATTTTTAAAACCAACTTTAGCAAGAGGTCCTTGAGAGACCATAAAATTCATCAATTTAAGTTTTGACAAAAGTCACAATCACAATAAAAGAACGTTTCATCGCCCAGAAAGTCCCTTCTTGCGCTTTGTTGTCAGTCTCCTCCCCCTCTTGGCAGCCACCGATCTGCTGAAAGCGTGGTTTTTCATGGTGTGTGGTAATTTTTCGTCTGTAGAATATAGCTCTTTGGTTGGCCCTTGGGTCTTACGCTTTCTTCTTTCTGTTACAAACTCTGCTGTGCTGACCTTTGTATGTCCTGATGCACCTCTGTTTCCATAGGCGCAATTCTTCGAAGTGAAACTGTGGATCCCATAACAGGAATCTTTAGACAGTTCCTTAAATGTCATCGTGGGCTTTCTCGCCATATTTGTGGTCTAGGGATGGGTTAGAGTCCCAAGGCTTTGGTGGGAGACTTAAATCAGCCTCAGCTACCTGGCAGTTTCCAGGTTTCCCTGTTCTTTAACTACCTGTGTTCCAGAGGAGATGTCCACCTGGTGACTCGCTGCTCTGCATAGTTTGTGTTCTGTTTTGAGGCCAGGCCTAGTCTCTTGTTGATGAAGTTACCAGATTTGCTTCTGATAAGTTGCTATAACCATTTGAAATAGGGAGGTTATAGGTTTGTGACTTGAATAGCTAATTTCTTTCTTTGGTAGCACTGATGAATACGTGGGCTGGCGTGGCTCTGCTTTCGTCTGTGCTCATCTTAGGTCAGTGCTGGCATTGAGTTAGCACTCTCATGTGTTTGACTATTTGATTACAATGTGCATTTCTTGACTTTCATGGCCTTTTACAGGTGGAAGAAATTAGAAACACATGATGTTGTGATAGAGTGTGCCAAAATCTCTCTGGACCCTGCAGAAGCCTCATATGAAGACGGCTATTCTGTGTCTCACCAGAACTCAGCCCGCTTTCCTCATCGGTTAGCCGATGTCACCGCAAGCCCTTATGTTGACACGCAGAATAGCTATGGTAAAAACTGACTTTGGTACTAATCTGCTTTATCACTTTGTCTCTGGAAAGCCTTGTTTATTTTTGTTGACTTTATTTTCTTTTCCTAGAATAAAACTTAGTTTGGCTCCTAGGAGCTGTTTCCCAAAGATTAAAAATTTGAATTTGCCTCCATTTGCTCCTGATGAACTCCTTCAAGTTTAATGTAGTCCCATGTCCTTGATTTTTTTACCTGATCAGACGCCAACACACGTGGATGTGCCTTCAATGCCTAGAAAAGAAAATGGATTGAAATATTTGGCTTGTGGGCTCCACTTCCTGAGGGAATCTTTCTGCTTTTCAGACACTTGTAGAGAGGCCCTCTGGGCTGTAGAACTGACACAGTGTGAACGAGTATGGACAATCTAGAATTGGTTTAATAGAAAAGTCTAGGCTCACCTGTAGGCCGCACCCATTGAAGTTGTCACCCCGTTTGTGCCTATTTAAGGTATCCTGAATCTCAACGGGACAGCAGACCTTACTGAGCTTTATCTAGGGAACCTTTTGAATATTACTTTGTCCCCAGGGATGACAGGAGTCCCCTCAGGTTTTTTCAATGCAGAGAACTGAATATTGACTGGTCTAGAGGACCATACTCTTGGTCGGAGCCATCAGACCCACACACTCAGCCCGTGCGCTCTTTGCCTTTCGTTTTAGGGAGTGCTGCCTCCACCCCTTACTCCGCGTCCCGGCTGACGTCATTCAGCACGCCAGGGCAGCTGCCTCCGACTCAGAGCACCCCGTCGACACGGCTGTTAACTGAACCGCCACAAGTATGGTGTCAAATAGTGCCTGCTTTCTCCTCTGCCTGCTGCTGAAGCTGACCATTGGGTCAGAATTTAGCGTGTGGTCTGGGAAAATCTCACATTGCCCGTTTCCAAAGGAGCCATTGTTAAGAACACGCGATATTAACAAAGTTACTGTGGCTACCTGGTTTCTCTAGGAGTCTAGACTTACAAAATGGGGCTTGTCTCTTTGTAAAGCTTTAATAAGATAACCTTTTCCCAGTTTAAAGTGGCCCCTGGTCATGGATGTGAACCGTGGGGCAATGTGGGGTTCACTCCTCAGCACTGATTTGCCTCATTGACTTCCCAGGCTACCTTCTGGAGCCCATCTGTGGTTTGTGGTATGACCACCCCTCCAACCTCTCCTGGAAATGTCCCGCCTGACTCGTCACACCCGTACAGTAAAGTCTTTGGTACAACTGGTATGTATGTCTTAGGTTGGGCTGGCTGATTGGTCTGGGCCTGCCTTTCATGACCAGGAATTGTCTCTTAGACCTAACAGTGAGTTGGGGGCCACTTGCCGTAGGAGACCTGTTTTTGACACTTCGTACAAACCTCTGGGGCTTTCAGAACATGTAAAGTGAACCTTTAAAAAAAAAAAAAAAAAAGACTGATTTAGATCCCCAGAAAGTGAACTCGAGCACCTTTCTTTGCATAACACTTAGGCTGGAGAGAAGTCCGCAGTCATTCTAGAGTTAGGCCCGGCGACTGTGTGTTCTGTCCTTGTCTCTGAGCAGGTGGGAAAGGAACTCCTCTGGGAACCCCGGCGACCTCCCCTCCTCCAGCCCCGCCCTGCCACTCGGATGACTACGTGCACATTTCACTCTCGCAGGCCACAGCCACACCCCACAAGAAGGTACGCTCAGCCCGTCTGCTGTCCCTCTGCCCGAGCACAGTGACCCGCTAGCAGACTTGCTTTGTGAAGCCTATTATGCCAGAGAGAATTCTGCCCTAAAATGGGATGGTTTGAAGCAGAACTATTGAAAATAGACTAACCAACAGTTCTCTAAGTGTGATCTGCTGACCCCGGGGTCCCAAAACCCTTGCAGGGAACCCACTGGGTCGGGACTGCTTTCGTGGTAATGCTAAGCTGTTCGTTGCCCTTTTGACTGCATTGGCATTTGCACTCGTGGTACAGAAACAATGGTGGATAAATGGCTGGCCCCTTAGCGTGAATCAAGGCATGCACCCCACCCCGGCGGGCATTGCACCCTTCTTCCTTGTTGTGCTGTCTCAGTTTGAAAGAAGAAAAGAGAAACCAAAAACCTAACTTAAGAGTGTTCTGTAGAAAAAAGCAGTAAAAGTTACTAATTTTATGAAGCCTTGGCGCTTGAGAACATGTATGTGTAATATTCTCTGAGAGAAAAAAGGAAATATACACAAAGCACTTGACTGCATTCCAAAGCGTGGTGGAAATCTCAAGTGCTGGTGTGACTGTCCGAGCTGAGCACCGACCTGGCTGCTTGCGCTCACGGAGCACCACGTACACACTGTGGTTATTCGGACCTGATTCAATGGCGAGCGGTTTCTTAAATGACGAACTGAGCCTGTCACTTCAAGATAAACAACTGACAGCAGTTGTTGCCAGTGACAAAATCCAACTCTCAGGCAAAATGAGAATATTAAAAAACCGGCATCTGCCACCACGAGCTTGATAGCTCCCCCAAGACTTCTGCGGTGAGACTGAAAAGCCTTGGGGAGCTTGCTTAATAATTGGAGTTTTTGATAGTGTATAATGAATGGATAACTTGGTGAACCAGTCTTTTCTAAATGCCCAGTGTGTGATGTTATAGAACCACGCGTAGGTAAAAGGTGCATGCAGAGGACAAGGGAGACCCGCGGATTTTAACACAGTGCGAGAAGTGAGATGCCCTGGTTTCGATTTCACTGTGACTAACCATTAAGAAATGACCCCGGGGCCGGCCGAGTGGCGCGATGGTTAAGAACTGGCTTGGGATGCCAGAGAGCCCCGGTTCGGATCCCACATATGAGGGCCAGTGACATTGTCCTCTACAGCTAAGATGCTGAACAACAGCTCAACCTGGAGCTGGGCTGCTGGGAGTCGCCGGCGACGGCGTAGGCTGCACACCCTGTGGCAG